TTCCTGGCGTTCATAGCATATTTACTGTTTTTTGTTTTGTTTTTTGATTTTTTAGCAATGGTTAAGTCTAAAATCCGGATGTATTTTATATGTCAGGCCTGTAATAATTATGCTGCTAATATCTCATACTGATACCTGATAGTACTGGTGGCATCTCTAATTAGGGCTGTAAATATTGATTGTATTGTATTGATTGTAAAACCATGCTATGTATTGTTAAACATGATTTCTCAATTGCTAAAATTCTATAACTAAAATTACCAGTAGAATCTCAAATAATACAAACATTGCAGCACTGGGGGTGGAGTTTCCTAGCAGTGTTAGCGTACTTGTAAATTTCTATATAAAGTATAAGTCTTAAGTGTCCAAATTGGATAAATTGGATAATAAGCTATTTTGCTTCCTAGCTGCTGTAACAGAAACAGCTCAAGCTCAAACAAACATCACTTCCTGCTGCGCTCTGAATGTGTTACAGTACCAGTCAGAGAACTGAACTTTGTCATTTTTAGAAGACCCGTTGACGTGTTTGATAAATGTTTTCTGCTTTCTTATATTTACATGCATTTGGCTCAACCCAACTGATGAAAACCCACCCAATTCACATTTTTGTTCAGAATGTAAGCCGGTGCTTGTGAAAGCAAAGAATAAATGGAAAGTAACTGGTCAGCTAAAATGACTGTGATCAGCTTGAATAATTGCAACCAGTCGATTATGTAATTATGTAATAATTGTAATGACTGTTAAACCACTAATTATCACTGCAATATCAGCATGATATCTGCAGATAGATATGATCCATGACTCAACCGATATCGCTCGGGCCTTAACATCTATATGTTTTTGATTTGAGTTTCAGAGATTCATGATCATGTAAAGTACTTGAAGGCATTTATCCACATATTTGTGCTGATGTATTTTAGAATGTATCACACAGTCGTGTTCAAAAACGTTATTGCTCCACTGAGAGGAAATGTTTCAAAGGGCTTCCTTCCTCTTACCTGATGCCTTAGTGAGAACAGAGAGAGGCGGAGGGGAATCGTCACATCACAAACCCCTGAACTGGCAACTAACTCTGTTTTGAATAAATGACAGCAGAAACTTTGTCATAAGCCCTTTGACCCACTACAGCCCTGCACTTTACTGCCGGCTGTCGAGATATCAGTGTGCGTCAGTGACAGGCTGTGAGACTGAGACTGTGCCATATCATGTGACGCCTTAATGCCCACTGTCCACTGCCACAATGAGCATCATTATGGGGCTAAATTAGCTTCACACTGCCACGACTGCCACAATTACTCTAAATCAACAAGTAAAAGTTATTTCTCCACCAATCAGCAAAGACTCCGGCAATTTGCATGACGATTGTAAAACTGCTCTCTCTTACAGTGACATGTATTTGTATTCTTTTGCCACATGGTAGCTTCATATCATCGCTGTTGAAAACCTTGTATGTCCAAGTAACGTCACAGGAGAGTGAAAAACGCTCTGAACTTTCAAAGGAACGCAAAGACATTTTATACACATACATACATACCTGATACTACTTAATAACATATACATAAATATATATGCATAGATTTTCCTTGTTTTATCTCCTTTACGGCAAAGTTGTCTATGGAATCTTAACAGCAGAAACGTTTTAAATGAATCAGAGAAAGGCAACGGACCAATGGACCAACAGACCAATGGACTATTGACTGGAGTAATCTACCAGATACTGTTCAGTAAAGTCTATTTTCATCATCTTAAAAAACAACTTTGGCTACTCATCATGAAAATAACGAGTAGATTATTCAATATAAACAATAGTGACATTCCTAGATACTTGGGAGTTGAGTTGCTAGCTTAAAGCTTAGCAGGCCTGCTATGATGCTTGTCACTCAGGTTAAAGATAGGGTTTTAATCTTGTGCACAATGGACCACAACACCAATTGCATTACATGAATTCATTAATTCAATTATGTAGCAAAAGTTTCCCCATTGCGATTCCTATCAAACCATCTCTCGTATCACCATGAGATTAGGCAACTGCTATAGCCCAAAAGCTCAGGACACACTGAAATATGTCACATCAAGGATGACTTCCAGCTGCGTGCAGGCTGGAATAACTCCTGGGCATCCGGTGAAGAAATGGGGGGTCATTCTCTCGATAAAAGAAGACACTCTTTCGGACAGTCACAATAGCCACATCCTGCTTTCTGTCACACCGCCTGCCTGGCTGCAGCAAGCCTGTTTTCAGTGTGAAAGATTTACTGGCTTTTTTCCCTGCTATTTTTTAGGGGAGAGCCTGTGGAATGCATGGGAAATCACTTCAGCAGAAACCCCAGAAAGAAACAGAAAGGGGGGGGTAAAGATGAGGAAAATAACACCTAAAACCCACAACAAAAGATATAACTTGACCGCAATAAATTGCTTTAACGTTTGAATGGCTTTCTACTTCCCGATTTTTCTCTTTTCACCACTTCATAATAAGCCCAACTTTCTGTTGCAAAACTTTTTACCCACTCTCCATATTCAGGCCGAGAATGTCAGCTCACACTCTGCTTTAGTTTGTTTACAGAAACCATGATGTGGACCACCCAGAAATGTTTTTGAACAAAATCTGAAAACAAGGTAAAATCAATTTAGTCAGGCAAACAAACAAACAAAAAAGCAGAATAAGCAGGCAAACCACTAAACTGAACAGATAAGGTCAGCTTTGCTTCTGCCATCATTATTTCAAAGCGAGGGTTCAGTCAAAAAACTAACGTACACAACGTTCCCTGACCTCCAACACAGCCGATCAGCCAACACGTGATTGGGAAGTTTGTTTAAACTTAGCGGCGCTGCAAGGCTAATGTGGAAAACAAGCACCTTAAGCTTACCCCTCACCAATTAACATGACTCAAACCAGACTCTAATCTCAAACAGACTTCTTTACATGGTTTCAGACACTGTATGACACAGAGCAATCTATAAAAATGAACAAAAGTATGTTGCATATCTAGAAACAGTAGCATCAGCCATCTTGAAGCCTAAATTTTGTCCCTACTTTTGTCTATGTTTTATTAGAGATGCACCCTTATGGGAACTGTGGGCCAATGCCAATATCTGATACTTCTCGAGTAAATATCTGACGATACCAAAGCTGGTACCTAAACATTTAAAAAGATGTAGAAATTGGGACTAGATCCGCCTGGATTAGCAATTTGGATGAATATAACATTTTTATAATTTTTTTTTTTTATGTACATTTTACAATTTTTTTTCTACAGCAGCCCAACATCGCCTGAATGTTCTGGAGTACAATAAATACATCAAATATCAGTTTGAAATATCAGTCAAATCTGAACATCTGTCCGATGCCGAAATTTTTTGTAAGCAAACATTTGCTGATACCAATATGATTCTTTGGGCGTCCCTAATTTGTTGGTGACCTTCCCTGCTATTTTTGCTGTGAGGCAGTGAGCTTCTCAGCTTTTCTTTAAGCAGAAAAATAGCATCCTCTGGTTCTTCTTCTGCGCTGACGCTACAACAAACACAGTGTCAGAAACCACATAAGCAAGTCTGGTGGCTATTAGCGTCCATTGTTTGATGACTGTATTGGCCATGTAGCTCCAGTAAAAACTAAAGAATCATGTAAAACACAGAACATGTCTTGGCAGCTTGACTACATTTGAGGTTTGGGTGGTGGGCGGGTTGGACAGTAAACTTCATTTTTGGCTGACCAATCAACCAGCAAGATGAGCTTATAAAGCAGGGTTAACCAGTTGTCCACCCCAACAGGGTCATCCTACAGCACATTCAACAGCTGCAGCAGCGGTTCCTCACTCTCCTGACTCTTCGACCTACTCTCTCTAATGTGAATCACAAGGCAAACAACTGTCTGGAAATAAGAGAGTCATTCTCCTCCAGCGGTGAGGAAGAAGACAGGATGAAAAATCCCGCCTGCAGAAAGAGTACAGAGCTGTCGTTTATCTGCAACTTTGCTCAGGGGAGAAGCATCTGCATTCCAGTCATGCCTGCATGGGTCGTAACTCGTTCAACTTGCTCGTCACCCTTTCCAGGCGGGAAAAGAACACTTACTGCAGAAGGAAAAAAATTCAAACTCAGCCCGCCATTTTTTAACCACTAGACATGAAGACACAAAAATCACATGCTTGTGATACTGAACCTCTCTGCGCAGATGACTGGCCAATGCACATTGGCTTTTGGAGCACCAAGATCACTAAACTTCAGGTTAGTCAATCAATAAGAAAGTGAATAGTGGATGTGTCAGAAACAAACTATTTTCAGACATAAATTGGAAATTGATGAACACTGAACCACACACTAGCTCCATTTAGTGATTTCTACAATAACCAGTCTACTCCAAGACCTCGGGGAAGCAGAAAATACTCCCATCACTGTCGGAGCAGATCCTCTTTAAACAGAAACCATTTTAAACTGCAGCAAAGTTCAAGCATTCCAGCCACCAGTTTGGCTGACGCAGACGCCTCACAGCTTACAAGATCTTGAGAAAAGCAAAGCCTCCTCTTGAATATTAACAAGATCATGACCAGCAACTGTAATGAGTTGACATCAGGATTTTCTTTAGTGTTAATGTTGATCGTGTTCTCAGCTTTCACTGCATTTGACCTTGAGGTGCTGGAAGGCAGGCAAACCCTGATATTTCTACAAAGGACAATGCGTAGGGTAGTAATGTTATGAATTAAACCATAACCGTATTGAATTATATATATATATATATATATATATATATATATATATATATATATATACACATGTGTGCGTGTGGGTGTATATATATATATATATATATATATATATATAGATAGATAGATAGATAGATAGATAGATATAGATATATAGATAAATAGATAGATATAGATTTAGCAGCTCCACATATGTACTTTATTTCGCTAATAGACTCGTCCTATTACTCAGACTTTGACCGTTTACATTTAAACCAGAGCTGCCCGTCACATCACGCGCCTCTAATAACCGTTAACGGTCGTTACCTCTCGGAGCTGCTCGAGCTCCTGGCGCACGGCCTCGTAGTCGGCCTCCAGCTCGTCGTACTGCTGCTTGAGCGCCTGCTTCTCCTCCAGCACGGCCAGCCCGTACTCGGCCGCCTGGATCTTCTCCCGGGTCGTCTCGCTCAGCTCCCGCGACGTGCGCTCCAGCTCGGTCCGAAGCCACTCGGCTCCGGCCTCGGCCAGCAGCGGCTCCTCCGTGGACATCCTTGCTGATGGAGATGCGCCTCAGGCGGCTCCGCTGAGGGAGAACCGGCGGCTGGGGGGGAATCCACAGGCTGGATGGGGGAGTCACCGAACAGCCGCGCTTTTACCGGCGAGCGGTGGAGTTAGAGTCTTATGTGTCTAAACATGTTTGTTGTGTTAGCAGGTCGTAGTTTCAGGCCGCGGAGCGAGACTGTTCCTCTGTGTGTTAATGTTCTCTCAGTGCTGCTCCATGACTGAGAGACGCTCTCCGCCTCTCTCCGCTCCGCTCCGGGGCCGTGAATGAGCGGAGAGGAGCCGTCAGCTGCAGAAACAGCCACCAGCTGGGAGTTCCAAGGAGAGACTGCAGAATTGTGGGAGTTGTAGTTTTAAACAGGACAAATAGCACTGAGAGGAGGGTGAAAAGAACTCGCTTCCCATGAGTCATTGGGGGTTTGTGTACATGGATGGCGGACACGCTGCCCTTAACCGGCTACAGGGAGTGACGTGGAGATGCCAGAGACAGTGCAGTGTGCAGAGAGAGCGCCATCTTCTGGTGATGAAGTGTCATGACAACACAAGTTACGGCGTCAAACCAATCACTGCAGCAAGGTCAGTGACACCCTGGAGAAGAAAAAATATGGATTCACAAAGCCGTTTTATTTGTATATGAGCTTTAGTTTATATGATTTAATCACTATGTACACCTTTATTGATATGAATTTTTACAGTGCACATTAAATTTGTTCAATAACTTATATTTACGTTTGTTTCAATGTGTTAACAAAATCCCATGACTCAATCATAATAGAAATATTGAGGGGCCTGACAAGATTTCTTCATTTATTCAGTTTATTTAGTCTTTTGTACTTATTTAAGGCCTACTAGTTCATCTAATGTTTACGTCTGTATTGGATTTTCCCAAGTATTTGAGCCCTCCCAGGTCTGAGTGAGGATGCCATTGAAGTACACTATATTTATTCATAGGACCAGTTTGAGATGACTTGTGCTTCATGAAAAGGCATATTGTCATGCTGGAAGTGATGCCATTAAAGATGGGTACTGTTTATAAATTGTGGCCATGAAGAGCTGCACATGGTCAGTAAGAAGACTCAGATAGGCTGTGGGATTCAAATGATGCTAAACTGGTATTAGGGGACCCAGTGTGAGTCAATAAAACATTCCCTATACCATTTAACCACCACCACCACCAGCAGCTTGAACTGTTGACACAAGGGAGGTTAAGTCCATGAAGCCATGCTGTTTAAGCCAAATTCTTCCTCTAGACTTTGCATGTCACAACAGAGAACGAGTTCCATCAGACCAGGCAATGTTTTCCAATTTTCAACTGTCCAGTTGCAGTGAGCCTGTACCCACTGCAGCCTCAGATTCCTGTTATTGGCTGACAGGAAACTAACAAGATGTGGTCTTCAGCTGTTGTAGCCCATCCACCTCAAAATCTGATTTTGTGTTTCTGATCGCTACTGTTGTAAAGAGTGGTTATTTGAGTCATTGTAGGCTTCCTTGAACAAGTCTGGCCATTCTCCTCTAACTTCTCTCGCCACAGAACTGCTGCTCACTGTGCTTTGCGCACATTTCTGTGTAAATTCTACAGACTGCTGGGTGTGAAAATACCAGGAGATTAGCAGTTTCTGAAATACTTAAACCACTGTGCCTGAACCAGCAACCATGTCACAGTCAAAGTCACTTTTTTCCTTGTTCTGAAGTTTGATGTTAACATCACCTGAAGCTCTTGACATCATGTGTGTAGGATTTTATGCTAAAACCACATGATTGGATGATTGGATAACTGCATGAATGAGCAGGTGTACAGTTGATTGGACTGCTGCATGTCTGAGCACAGAACAGGTGGTCCTAATAAACTGGCCTAATAAATAGTCTATAAGTGTGGGAGCCCCAGACAGTCCACTTGTTTATTCCCGCCCAACTTGTAACACGTGATCGCAAACGCAAAAATGTAGACCGTCTGGGGGTCCCTGAGGACCTGTTTGAGAGCCACTGCTCTAGAAGGCACATGAACCTCTATATTTTTGGGAGAAACAGTGACAGGTTCTCAGCTGTCCTCAGATCAGCTGTTGTTTGGCCGCCCAGCTGAAAAAAGCCCATAGAAACCATTAAGCGTTTCTGTTGGTTCCTGGTGTTTTGGAACGTATTGTGGCTTGATAGGTTTATATCACACCGTTAAGGATCCTTACAGGCTGTGACTGATTCTAAACACATTTGATGGTTTTCTAATAGGATCTAAAGGTGTTCTATAGGAATGTAGTGCTCTGAAATGGTAAACATTGAATTGATTCCCTTCAGGAAGCAAAACTATCAGGTTTTAATCCTAATGGATGGTTGGAGAAGAAGTGAGAAATGCATTGCTGCAATTGACAGTAGGTGTAATATTCATATTCAACACTATTCTGATTGTAGTTATGGCCCTCACTGAAGTAAAAACCTAGTACTGGTTAGTTAGCCGCAGCACAGTGCTCTGCGGAATGATACAGTTGTATTGTAAAACGCTTAACCAATCAGATTGAGACGGAACTAACTGTGCTGTCGGAACTTGCTGGTCTCGTGGGGAAATAGAGTTTTTCAGTTGGAGGCACTACACGAACGCCATTGAAGGTACATCAAAGATTATGTAAGGTAGTTTTTGATGCAGCCTGAACTGGGTGAGTCATGATCTCTGCACTATTTTCGTCATGGCGGAGGAAAGAAGCAAACAGTCAAACAAACAGAAATCACTCAGATAATCTATACAAATATAACAGTAATAGTAAAGTATGTGTACAGTTAGGCTAACTTACATTTTATTTCTGCTTCATACGAGTTCAAAACACCAGTGAAATAGGCCAAAACCGATAGATGGCAGCTAACTAATAAACTATAGTTTCAACTTGTACTAGAGACCATTGCAATGGACCTGATAAACATACAATGCAACAAAAATAAAACTTCAGAACATGAATTAGACGTGGACCCCCCAGTAGTTCTCGACCCTTCTCACCCAAGAATTAAACACATGAATTTCAGGGGCGTCGCTATGCCAGTTTTAGGGCGGCTTCAGAAGATCATGAGTGTAAGATTTTAGTAGATTGTTAGTTCAAACAGTGTTTTGCATTCATTCTTCATCATTCAGCTGCGCCATCGTGTCTCCAAATTCACAATAATACAATTCACAATATTCACTGCTGCCTCAGCTGAGCTACCTGAGATTCACTAACCTAACAGGAGACGGCAATCCTGCCATTTAGACTTGAGCAAAAGTGTAATGCTGGCTCAGCCAATCATATCAGACCTCCTAAGCTGTAAGCCAATCATATCAGAGCTGGGGGCGGGGCTCTGGAGCTGCTCACTGTGCGAAGTAACGTCAGTTGGCATCTGATGATGTGACAGGATGTGCATTAAAAGCGTACTAAAATAAATATTAGCCTTATTGACCTTTTCAAAATCTATAATATACAATCAGAAAGTAGTTACAGTGATGATATCCACATACAACATGGATTAGTGGACAAATTAGCTGGCTATTGAGTTTTAGCTGGTTGCTTTTTAGCTAACTTAGCTAGCTAGCTAACTTTTAAGTTCATGTGAGGTAAAGAACAGCTAGGTGTAGGCCACATAGAGGTATAGGCCATAAAGCATGAATGTCAGCAAGCTATAGAGCTTTTTAAAGAAATTTAAGAAACTTCACAGATTTTTTGTTTTCATATTTCTATTAAGTATTTTGGATCACACCAGCATTAGCTCTGTATTGTTTTTGCTGTGTATAATTAGTAACTACTGGTGTTGTTTTGGTCGTAACGCAGTTTTATATCTCTGATTTCCTCAGTCTGTAGGTGGTCATTAAAATGTGGCAGCTCAGCAGAAGAACTCATTGATCCTCGAGTTCTTGTAAATCTAAGTTTAATAAAAACAACATGTTACTAAACACAGGCAGTGAGAGAAAGAAGCTGAAGGAGACTGACAGAGCTGAAGAAGCAGGTCTGATAGAGGATAGCGACCAAAAAGAAAGTGAGTGTTTAAGCTTTCAGATAAAATTAATAACTTACTGAATTTGTAGAAATGATATTCCCTTAAAACATCCTCATTTGTGACACTAAATAAAAAAATTCAGAAAATATATATATTTTTTTTACTGGCAAATGTCAATATTGCTGTGTCACCTAGACTATTAAACATGTGCAACTACAGAACAAAATCACTGTCTCTGGTTGCACAAACTGAGAGTGTACTAATCTAGAGGCTTAGCCCCCCTATCCTTGTATCTGTAGTGATGCATCCTGACATGAATTTACAATTTTTTTCTCTCTCGCAGTTGATTTATGTGTGTTTTGGTGGCCTGCTTTTAACAAGCACCTGTCTGTGTTTGTGTCTGGACCCCTGTGATGGTGGTCTGTCGACGACTGGTGGCTGTTTGTTCTTCGAGTGCGCCGCATTTAGCTCTCTGCATGAACACTTGTCTCTCTGTACACAGGTGGTCCTTCATCACTCGTGTGTTGTACTTACAAAAAGGCTGCAGCGATTCGTCTGAAAACACTGTCTCCCAACGTCCACACTAAAGGAGAATTCCACTGAATTTTTTAAAATTTCAGTGGTTTGACGTGAAACGGTTCATTTGCAGAGAATCTTACAGACTCAGATTTCTTTACAGTGGTGGTGATAGGAACCAGGTGTTCCAATGTCTACAATGCAAATATATACATTTTATTTACTATCCAAAACCACCAATGAACCTACACAAATCTGAAAAGTTAAATGTTTTCTTTAGGGTCTGTTTTGCCTGAGAATACCCTTCATGTACCCCCCCCCCCACCATACATGGAGTAAAATAAATTGATTAAAATATGTTTCAGACCAAAACATTATCACAAAACTACTGTAAAACAGTGTCTCAGACATCAGGCAGTGTATTTATAACTATTTCATGTAGTAACTTTCTGTGACGGAGCTTTTAGAGGCATGAAACTCCTCAGACGTCTGGTTCCTATCACCACCACTGTGAACAGCCCTGTAAGTTTCTCTAGAACAGAGCATTTCACACCAAACCACTCTGAATGATTTTGTTGTGAATGAAGTTTGTTGACCAGTTCAGTTTAAATTTTGAAAAATTGGCAGACGTCCCCTTTAACTGTGTAGGTGATGCTGATGTCAACCTCAACCAGCAGTTGAGTACATTTTCTAAAGCACTGTAGATTTGTACGCTGTGTTTAAGTACAGTGACCACTAGAGGGCAAAAGGGAGAACATAATGTAGCAAAGTGATATTATGACAGACTTTTCAAACACACACACACACACACATTTTCTAAGCCGCTTATCCTTCTGGGTCACGGGGGTGGGGGCGCTGGTCCTGCTGTTCAGGATCATATGTTAAGTCTTTTTCATATAATAGGTTAATTATAACAGCGTGGTTAAAAAGTTTAGGGAAAAAAAAATAGGTTCTTTTGGCTCTGTTTAGAACCATGAGTTCTATATAGATCCATTCATTCTTTGTATGGTGAAATGGTTCTTCAGATTGTTCGAGACTTTTGTATATATGGTTCTATATAGAACCTTTTTGAAAATGGTTCTATGTGGCATCAAAAAGGGTTTATTCCATTGTTACAAGCTTGACATTATAACAATAGAAGAACCCTTTTTGGTGCTATATAGAACTATTTAAGCATGGAAACGGTTCTATTTAGAACACATAGTTCCAAACAGAACTCTTCCCTTCACTAAAGAACCCTTGAAAAACCATCTTTTTGTTTCTTTCTGTGGCATGTATCAACGTGCAGAGTAGGCCCAGTTTGGATCAGGATGGCAAGAGGAAAAGATCTAAATGACTTTGAAAGAAGGCTCGTTATTGGTGCACGGATGGCAGGAGCCTCAGTCTGCTCAACAAGCTGGCGCTTCAGTAGAAATAGTGACATCTGCATTTAGATCTATGGGAAAGACATCAGTAAATAGGACTGGAAATTGTGGTCAAAAGCAAACAATCATTGACTGTGACAATCATGCATTAGTGTGAAATGTCAGGAAAAACAGAGGAGCATCTGTTCCTCAGGTGACTGAGAATATCAATGCAGGACATGATCAGACTGTGTCAGCAGGAACAGGCCATCCACAACTACATAGGGAGGGGTATTATAGCAGGGCTGCAGTGCGTAAAACCCTACAAAGACAAACATACATTTGAGATGGCAGCAAGGTGCAAAAACGTGACATGATCAGATGAGTTATCCTTCACTGTATTCTCCACAAGTGGGCGAGTGCATGTGTGATGTACACATAGACCCTGTTTACACCTTGCATGAACATGTTTTGTGTCTGATTCCATTCACACTTTTCACTAAAATGCAGCCCCAGTCTGACCAGATGAGATCCAATGTCCTGCATAGACAGCACATCAACACATATATCCTCACTTTTTGTTTTGTTTTGTTTTTGTTTACTCCTTAACCCATTGCAATACGATTAGACGATTGGTGCGTTCCAATCGGGAGGCAGCTGTCCAAGTAAGCAGCATTTTTTAGGCAGCATTTGCACGCTCCCGAGACGAAGGCTGTCCCATTCAAAAGGCAGCATAAGGCAAGTTATGACGTATGATGGCACTGTCCCGAACGTGATGCCTACTAAGGTTCCTTTTTGGTTAAAATGCTGCCCAAAGAGAGTGGTCCCTTCGAAGGCAGTGACTTGTTAGGCAGCTGCCTTCAGAATGGAACACACTAAATATGATCTTGGACACTTTCATCAGTGTGGAGTGCATGAAGGCTCTTAGTTATATGCATAATGAAAACACATTCCATTTACACTTGGGTTAAAAGCAGTCAAGATCTGTCTCTGCCAACCTCTGAACATGGTATGAGTGATCTTATCACAATGTGTTTACATCTGGCTTTTCATGCAACAGGACCCGATCACCAAAAACGCATGTTAATGCAAGGTTTAAACAGGCCTAAGAGATCAGTACAGGTCTTAATGCTCAACCTCTATAGTGAGGAGGTCCAGTGATTCAGTTATGCTGTGTTGCTGGCATGGTTTGGATCCACTTGCCCCCACAAAGAGAGGGCTCATGGAATATCAATACAAAGGTGTTCTGACTGTTCAGCTTTGTCTTAGATGAAACATTTCTATCGTGATGATAGGTGGTACATTCATCATAGTATTCATCCAATTTAAGGTGAAGACACCCAAATGCTGCATTATCTCAAATAATAAACTGAAAACTGGTGTATAGAGGCACAGGGCTTCAGAAGCAGCTGATCAACTTCACAAAAACAGTTGATACTCCTAATAACACAACATATATGATTATAATACTATGTTTATGTCAAGACGTGGTCAAAATGATGTCAAGACTGAGACAACTGTCTTGAGACTCAAGTACTGCAGCACTAGTATTGGGTGTGCAGAGGAAAAAAAGAAGCACAATTATATCCTTATAAAAGTTTCATATTTATTGCAAAATATTTTGTACAGAGTAAAACTTAAAACTTAAAAAAGGAATGGACAGTAAGGCCAACATCAGAACTTTGCGTGCTGAACTGTACAGACATCAACAGTAACACATTGTTGCTTAAATAATCTTTGAACACATAGTCCTGGAAGCGAAACTCAGCATATCATTTCAAACTCAGCATTTTATATTTTTCAAAACCAACAACTTATTTGCCGTCCTGTGTCTGCTGCCAGCTCACAAATAATTCACATTTTCTCACTATGGACAGCATTTTAGGGCCAATTTACTGTACTGATCTACCTTAAGATGTGAATAGTGTATTTCACCTCTGTTATTTCAAATAATAGTCCTTTTCGATACTGAAGTCGAGAAGATGCTCCAGCTGAAAAACAGCTGTAGTCAGCTGTTAGGGGTGATTATCAGGATTATTTCATTTTCTCTCAGGTCAGTTTTTGCACTAATTCCATTACAAACTTACTAGCCTTCAAAGCTATAAGCTAGCAGCACTTCTACAAACACTACTGTATGTACTGCGATTACCATCAACTTACTTAGCTTCACAAGAGTGTCTGTATGACAATGAGAATGTCAAAAAACACATTCTCCCACCACCAAAACCAGCAGTCTTAACCACCAACGTGATCAAGAACATGCTTCAAAACCTATCCCACAAGGCTCAATCTTGCTACTCACAAACTTCAAAAAGCACATAAAAAGGTATAACTTGGTTATGCCATGACACAACTGATGAAAAAAATTGAAATGGCTTTCCATAGTCTTGAGTCTTATATAGTGAGCTGTAAGCAGATACCTTATTTCTTGGCAAAACGTTACACATCTGTTCTAACCAGCTGAATAGACGGAAGGCTTTCTTTGTTTTGATGTTACCCCGTTGTCCTTTTAGAATTGAAAGGGGGAAAAAATAAATCTACTCAAAATTCCAGTTTTGAAATAATTATAAAAACAATAACTATGTCTCGAAATTCAGGGTAGCTAAATCTATTGTCCCTGAAATGCAAAACTGATCATTTAAATGAGTCAGTACAACACGAAGGCTTCGTACAGAAGTGACACTCTCATTAACTAAAGCGTGCGGCGTTTTCGGCGCACGTTAAATTTTGGCACTGGTGTTAGTCTCGTTTCTTCTGAGCTTCGCTAGCGCTCTAAAGCTACGACGCAGTACAGCAGGATACCATTACAGACATTCAAATATACATCTTAGTATTGGCTATCCCCAAAGTGGGATCTACAAAAAAAACCCTTTTGCTGGATGCGGAATATAATGCAAAATTAAGGTAAAGATTAAAATAGATTTTTTTTTTTCGACGCGTACAGTAAGCCCTTCTGGAACAAAACACATAATGGTTTCTCGCACTATACAGGGGATGCAGTGATGTGAAGTGTTTTCACTCCCAACGCAGGTTGGGGGGATATTTTAAAGAGTGGTTGACGACGGTCAAAGACGTTTCTTGACAAATGCACACATTTTTTCTGCCATTCTAATGCAATGTTTACATTTTAATTGTTGGAAAAAAAGAAAACAACAGTAAGATACTCACAGATATCCATGCGTGAAGGCTTGTAGTGGTTTGCCCTTTTTGCACAGCGTTCAAGCAACAGCAAGTGTGCAGGAGGGCTCCTCACCACAACGAAGAATACAAAGCATCAGTCTCCGGACCACATGGGATTGCCCACAATCTTTAAGATCCAACGGCAAGAAGTCAAAGTTTCATTTGTCTTGAGTCAAGGGTGGGGAAACAGTCCATCCCACTTCAAATGGCATGTTGAGACAGTGCTGATGTGGGTTACAGGTTACAACTGCAGAAAAGGGCTTATGCGTATTAATGTCTGCCCATCTATTATCAACCTCCCCCAAAATGGATGCACTGATTCAAACAAACCAGGCAAAACGAACATTGGATCACCCCTTTTACTTTACATGTATGACCACTATGGGGAACAGATTCTCATGGAATGTCAGATTTTGTTGATGGATGAGGTGACTTTTGAAAATTTGGATGCCATGTCATTTGGTTTCATCTCCGTAAAGCTTACAGAAGTTTGAATTAAAAGTGGCTGCTTCAAGCTGTGCATATCTTTGCCATTCGTTTCATTTAGTGTCCTTTATTTAAGGAAAATGTTTCCTTTTGTAAACAGGTCCTTAAGAAAAGTAAATGACCTTTTACTTGTGAGCTTCTGATGACAAGATCAAAATGACCTAACTTAATAAATTAACATGTAGTGCCGCAGTCTTCGGTGCTTGGACCCCTTCATTTTGACCTTGACGTTGCCCATCACGCATAAATTAAGACTGATTGCCTTATAACACCACAAATGTAATCCATGTCACAATATATCGTATAAATAATATGCATATCAGCATGCATTGTATATCCCTTGCTTGTGGAAAGCCTTTGGGGGGTCTAGAGGGAGGAGTATACCATCACCCTCAAACAAGCATCACAGTATAACTAGGCTTAAAGCTGCAGTCTGTAAGATTTAAAACGCTGACGCTTACGTGCAAAACAATATCTCCATCCTCTGTGGTTTTCACAGAGAATATTGCAGTCTGTAAACATCTAGGAGCTAGTTTAGCGCCAAATACTGTCAGACAGATGGGGGTGAGTCAGCAACTAATTAAATAGAAAATAAGGAGTAAATCTTACAGAAAGCAGTTCTAAGGATTAATGGGTTGTCTCTGAGGAGCGGGAAGTCGCGAGGATAATGATTCATTTCATTTGTGGTTGGTGAGCTGTGACGGAGAGCCCTGTGTGTGCCGACTGTGAGTGAGTTTGTGTGCTGAAGTGGCTCCGTATTCTCATTGACTGCATCAAGCTGATGAACCAATAAGCAAAAGCTTCCACACCAACACACAGTCACTGGCTCACCATCCACAATCATCTGCAAAAATCTCCCTCCACAGCATGGGTGTGAATTATCCTCTTCAACATGACCGAATGTCGAGCAAACGTGAGCTTGGCTTTTCCGAATCCATCTTGACGGCGATGATGGACAGGTCAGGCTGAAGAAGCACAAAAACAGCTGATTGGCTAATCACAGCAGACCCTCCCCCCAGCTTCCCCATCTAATAGCAAGCACTGACAGCCGCAACATCTCCAGCAGCCCAGGGGGAAAACACACACACACACACACTTGGGGCAGCAGGTGCCCAAGGACTCAGTGTGTGTGTGTAGGTGAGTTTATGTCTCAGACGAAGAGCTGTATCCTCTCGCGGATGGTCTGGCGGCAGATGGGGCAAGTTTTCAGGGCAGCGCTGCAGTCGATGCAGGAGGCGTGGCCGCACTGGAAGACCAGCTTGATCTGGTTGTCGATGCAGATGGGGCAGGTGATGCGCTCCTCCATCTGCCGGTAGCGCGACTGCAGCTGCTCCAACAGGTTGTGCTGCTCCGAGTTGTCTGAGTTCGGACTACACTCCACCTCCGTTTGGTCTGAGTGAGGGAGAGAAAGAGAGAGAGACAGAAAATAATGGAAATAAGAAAGTAAGAGGTAGAAGAAGTAAGGACAACCTCAATTTATCCAGTACAGTGTGTGGTTTATGCTTATACACAATGGAAGTTTAGCAAGTTAAATGCATTCACAAGCATCGATAAGCAATACTTAAACCCTTGTATCCCTAAAAGGGTGAGTTTATAGAAGAAGGGAAAAGCATTTTCAACATTTATCAATCTACCACAAAAAATTTGCTTGTGAAAAAAATGGCTATTGGTCCATGTGTGAACAAAGTCTTCACACAATCTAAAGTGCAGCTGATGTATAAACACTCACTGGCCACTTTATTACATATCTTGTATCTTCACTCTTTGTCCATTTTATCAGCTCCACTTAGGATATAAGTTCACTTTGTAGTTGTACAGTTACAAATGGTAGTCCAACTGTTCCTTGCATAATTTTTTAGCCTTCCTTTACCCTATTCAACAACAACGATAGTCAGGGCCACCACAGGACCATCATTGAGCAGGTATTATTTTGGTGGTGGATCATCCTCAGCACAGCAGTAATCCCAGGTCAAATTACATGTTTTGTTGAACAAGTTAAAATAAGTTAACAGCCTCGACAAGGAACAAATGTAAAGCTACATGTGTAAGATTAAGGGATCTGGAGACCTCTCGGGTGGAAATGTATAATTTCACGCAAACTGCAGAAGAACATTCTGTAACGCTGGCTGTGCTTCTGACCCCACACCCGAGCAGATGAATCTGATGACTGCAAGGGGGTTGAAGGAGTATTTAAAGAGATCTCAGTCAAAACTAGATGAAGGACATCTTCTGAGGATGTAAGTGAATTACCTACTCTTGTCTTCATATCTTCATCAGTATAATGTTGATTTTGCATTTCATACCTAAACATCGAGCTGGACCTTCCTTTTGAGCCTGTATGTGTGACGTTAATATGTGAAGACATATGATGTGGTCTGAAAATGCCTGCAAAATCCAACCCAACACCTCTACCTTTTAAATCATTATTTCAGGCTTTACAGGGTGACTCAAAGCACTGCATGTGATATTTTATCCTGCTTCAAGAATGTCACAAAGAAATCTTACACAGTGCTCCTTTAAATACAGCATTTTTGCAATTTTTGGTGCAATTTTTTTTTCTTAGTGTAACATATTTGACAATTGTGCCATAACTTTTGCACAAACCACATTTTATGTTTTATTTTTTTCCCAATATGTTAAATTCAGCAATTAAACAGCAGTTTTGCTTTAAAATGTGTAGAAGTGTGATCTCCGTAGAGCACGTGTTAATTTATTTTCAATGAGAAAATTAGCGAAAATCATTTGACCGGGTTGCCCAAACTTTTGCATACAAGTGTATATGCTAAGTGAAGCTGATAAAATGGACCCAGACTGTAAATACAAGGTAGTTGGGCCTAATAAAGTGGCCAGCAAGCATATATAAGATAAGATAAGATAAGATAAGATAAGATAATCCTTTATTAATCCCACAACGGGGAAATTTGCGGTGTTACAGCAGCACAGAAGACAGAGCAGCAGGAAATATACAAACAATATATAAAATAGAATAAACAATAAAAATATAAAGATATATGTATATGTACAAAAATTACAAGAAAAATATACAAAGTATTAAATTTAAATTTAGAAATGTAGAAATGTATGTATTGTAGTGAGTATATAATGTTCAAAGAGAAATGTTCTGAGGTTTTCTTATACAGTTAATGCACACAATCAATATTTCTTTCCCAGATTTTACCTTGTCGGATTTTCTTGGTGATTGTGACCTGGCATTTGATACATTTCTTCATTCTGTGAGCACACTCTGCGAGGAAAAAAAAAGAGAGTAAGATCATTAGCCTTTTTTAAGAATACCATTAACAAGTACTGTTTTAGTATGAAAAACAAAGTAGCCCTTTAGATTGCCTAACATTTTTTATAGTAGTTGTTCATTTTTGACAGTAGTTAGTTGTTAACTTGCTGTCATTTACCATAGCTAAAAGGCACATAGCCTACATTTTTTCACATTTTTCCATTGTACCAAAAATCTTAATTTATTTGGTATATCACTTTCCTACCTTTTTTATCTCTTAAAATTAAACAGGCTGTTTTTGTTACTCTGCGTTTAAAACTGGTATATGTAAATGACCTCTGATTCTGTTCCGATTGGCTGCCCTGCATTGAGCTTCATTCAAAAAAGCAGTCCGGATTAAAACACTCATAACTTCAGTCGAATGGGCGAGTCTAAGCTGCTGTGGATATACGTGAATGATTTAGCATTTCATTACATCACAAAAACATTGAATCCAAAATGGGCTGTTTTTCAGCTTAGTTTCCATATATGGACTGGGGAGAGAAGGGTACGTTTTTAACAGTAACAAAATTTGCATACTATATCACATTCTTTTATGCAGAAAAAGCAAGGGAAATTTGTTTTTCCATGATATAGGCCCTTGATAGTTTACAAGTGTTCTGGGCATTAATGAAGCACTTTATCGGTAGCCTTTTTTAAAAACAGATAGAAAAGAGCAAAAGATTTAAAATCACATTAAATATTTCAGAAGCTATGAACTACAATGGGCTTTGTGTTTAGTAGAAACCTCCCTTTTGAAGAAAACCCCCGTCTTGCAGGCTGACTGCTGCCATATTTCACTACTAAAATCAGACACTGTCTGTGCCTAATCAACAGCTGCCTGTAGAGCCAACCAGTGGAAATATTAGTTGATTAATAGCATAGTCTATTCACTGAAACAGTCTTCAGTGATGTAGCCGACCTAGATTGCTGTCTGACTTTTGGAACACAGTTTATGTGTGCGTGCCCTCACCTTCGCAGGCAACGCTGTGCTGGCATGGGGAGAAGAGCACGAGCAGGGCAAGCTCGGAGCAGATGAGGCACTCGCTGGGGCCTGGAGCACAGGGCATGGCCAGGTTGGTCATGGTGTTGGGTGTGGTGTGAACCCGACGCAGACTGCTGCTACTGCTCGTTCCACATGTGATAGCCTGCAGCTGCTGAAGCCTGACACACAGGAAAAAGGACACATCACATCATTAGACATCATCAGAGTCCCCTGCTGCAGCACTTTATGTAGCACAGTGAACTACAGTGACAATATGGATTAATACTTACAGTACAATGGCTGATGTGTGCACCCACAAACAAATACATACACCTAGTCTCCAAGTATTTTAACAGTATGTGTGATTCATGAACTCAGACCATTAACCACCCGAAACACACACACATGCATACCGGTGTTTCTCTGAGAAGCTCCTGATGAGCTGCAGGACCGTGCTGTCCGTCACCAGGTCCAGAGGACTCTTGCCTTTATGGTTAGCGTAGTTTATGTCTGCGCCCTCTTGAGCCAGGAAGCAGGCAATAGAGGCTCCAACATTCAGCTCAGTGTTCCCCAACAACCCTGAACTGCTCAGCTTTTTTACACACACACACACACACGCACACACACACACACACACACACACAGATTAATCTTCATGTAGAGGATATTTCACAAATCAATGTGGCTCTGCAGTCAATCATGAACAGTGAATACAAAGCAGAAGCCATGAAATTTTAGCTGACAATTAATTGTCACATTAATTATCATAACTGAGATTACCGATTTTTTTTTTGGTTCACTGTATGCAAGTATTAAAACACAAGCCTTGTTTTGTAGCTGTTTACTCAAAGAGTCAATCAAGGCTACGAGTGAAAATACAAGCAAGCATACAAGCTAAAAACGTTAGAATTAGCTACACAGCTAACAAATAAACAAACATTACTCATGCTCCCCTTTAAACATGTTAGAGTACCAAGTTAGATTAACTTTTTTTTGTGTTAATGAATCCCATGATTTCTCAACTAATGCATTTAATGTTTTTATTTATTTTTGCATCTATTATCATTTTATTTATATTTTATTTATTTGCCTCATTCCACATGTTTAGCTTGTTGTAGTGTAATATGATTGTGAAATCTGAAGTCTGTGGAAAACGACTGCAGCTTAAATAACTGCGATCATCTCAAATAAGTGCACTTAGGCAATTATGTAATATTTGTGACAGGCCTAAAGAAGCCATTAATAAGCAGTTTTAGCAATATTTTATGGGTGCATTTTGATCGGTTCCCTTGGACTGGACCATCACACAATGTTCTATTTTAGTTCTGGTATACTTGGAAATCACATTTACATATTTCACATCAAACCAAAAGATGTAGTAGTAAGTTAACAGAACAACAGTTAGATGTGCTAACTCATTATTTGTCATTTAATGAAACTGTAATTTTAAGGTAGCCAGGTTCCTTCCGTTTTTAAAGTTAAAACTCCAAATCAGTTTTTACAGTGTACCGTGTTAAAAACAAAACAAAACAAAAAAAATATCACAAATGACTGGGCAGTTATCACAACGTTCGGCACCAATAACTGCAGTGGAACAATAACACCAACAAACTTTCAAAGCCACGTTGTACGCTAGTTTAACTGGGCTCATGGGTTTCATGTACGTCTTGTTTTATGTATATCTGTTGATTGGCTGTGTTACCGTCATTTTTCCATGTCATGAAATGGGAAGAAATCACTGCAACACTTTGAGTGGATTATTGATTATAAGATGTGAAAACTTGATACTGGAGTATCAATATGTAATGTATATGGTGTGCCTGGTCAAATGTGCGTGCACATTTTTATAAGTATTTTTATAAGTATTTTATAAGAAAACGCATCCTTAACGTCAACACGACTGAGACTTGTTGGTTTAGGTCATGAGAGGTCAGTGGGATTATGGGAGCAGCAGTGGACTGAATAACGTTTAGAAATTTGTATTCATTTTTGTATTCATTTAAATAACTGAACTGTTCTTGAAACATATTAAGTGAATAATTACATGAAGAAAACTGCCAACCAGTAACAGTGAGGAACAGTGTGAATTTAATAAAAATTACAAAAGCAGAGTTTTCCCCATGTGCCTTATCAGTATGTATTGTAAATGTATTCTCAGTGTATTTTGATTACGTTACGTTTCTATCTATTGTGGTAGAACACATTACTGAAAACATTTAAGAAAGTGTATTCAGCCATCACATAAGTCCAACTCTGTCTGTGACAACACATTCCATTTATAGACTATTGCGTTATACTACTGATACAGTACAAACCTACCTCCCTAAAAACACACAACATAGTACAGTAAAAGTCACCTCAGTTGCTGCAATATTACCACTCAAGTAGCCAGTGTTTAAAAAAAAAATAATCGCACCACACGATCATATCATTCCACCATCTGAAAACAGGCTACAATTGGTGCATTTCACATTTTAGTTATTTTTTAATCATCAATCAATTGATAATTTAACACCACAAATATATTTAAGCTCTGGCCAGTAGGGGGAGCCATGCACTTCCTGCTGGACCCCAGACTCCACCAATGAGCACAACCATTGGCTCATGAGCTGCTGAATGCTTTTGTTTAATTGGCTCACTACCGAAATATCTAAATAAATTAGGGCATGCTTCACATAAATTATATGTATATGAGAGCAAATCAGGGCAAATTTAGTGCTCGTGTGGGGCGCATGTTCCCATGCACTGAAGCTGATTCATCAATTGCACCCAAATCAGCTTGTTTGCCGTCATAGGACAGTTTCCTGATTCTGACGTTAGGTAGTTGGTACGTCACGCAAATCTGCGTTCATTTCTATGCAGCTTTGATAAATATGTGATGGACTGATGACCTGTCCAGCGTGTATCCTACCTTCCGCCCAATGACTGCTGGGATAGGCTCCAGCTCCCCCCACGACACAGAAGGATAAGCGGTTTAGAAAACGTGTATGTGTGTGTGTGTGTGTGTGTGTGTGTATAGATACCAGCAAAGTGTAACGGCTGACAAAGCTGTGTTAAATAAAAAGTGGGTTGCACTTTATTTTATAGTCTGTTTCTTAACAATAACTAAGCTATTAGCAAGTAATTAATGATTTACAGAAGGCCTTATTAACACATCACCTCAAAACATATATAACACATTTCTAAGCTTGCTTACAAATGACATGTTTCTATTTACTATGACATTATTAATTGCTTGCTAATAGTTAATGAGTTGTTGAGAAGCAGACCCTAAAATAACGTGTTACTAAAAAGTGCAATGAAACGTCCACCTGAGTAATTATTATTTTCTATATCTTTTGTTATACTATAATATTTATTACATTACTGCAATATCTCCTGCATTCTACACTGCATTCTCAGAAATGACTTTAGAGAAAGTGGCTGATGAATCAAGATGATATTTAATGCTGTATAGCTAAGACACGTCAGAATGTAATTAGATTCCATATACACTGACAGACACCCACACTTTTCTGCTGATGCAGGAAAACAGCGAAACTGGCCCTCTTAACATACGGCTGTATTTCTCTGTTGGCTCTGGCTCAAATCCAGCCCTCTGCAACTACGTGTATGTGTGTGCGTATGTGGCTGTGCCCTTCAGAGCAGGCCAGAATTGCTCATCCTTCACGCTCCACTAGCAAAATAAAGGCATAAAAAGCTAACAGTACTGCTTTAGTCAACTGTTAACTACAGTTTCAAAGCAAAAGTGTTAAAGAATTAAGAAACAATGACTGAAAAAATGAAAGCGCATTTATCACAAACTGGTTTAAGATATTGATCAGAAGTTCCACTCCACTCAAACCAATTTATTATGAGAAACACCACTTTGGAGACACGTTCTCCAATATATTATCTTATTTTTCTGTTTCATCAGTTCTCCCATCTCTTCCCGTCCCATCCTTTCTCCCCACCTCATTTTCTCTCCCCTCTTCTCAACCCCCCCTTTCTCTTCTCTTTTCCCCGCCCCTCTCCTCTCCTGCTCTCTCTTACCCGACTGTAGAGTGCTGATGTCTCTCTCTCGCTGGTGCTGAGGGTGGTGGTGAGTTGTTGGCGACTGAGTGCCGTATGCATCGCCGTGTCTCCCTCCTCATCCTCAGCATTCACATCAGCTCCCTCCGCCACCAGCAGAGCCACCAACGCCACGTGGCCCTGCGTCACCGCCAGCTGCAGTGGCGTCTGGTTGCGGTTGTTGCGGATGTTGACGTCGCAGCGGCCCTACAGAGCACAAATGAACAGGACAAAAGATTCAGTTCAGATTAAATTGCATTATTAAGGATGTAAATATATGATCTGATTCACTTACATCATAAAATCCCAAATTTCAACACAATTTGATTATCATGTACACTGAATATAGAAATATGACCGCAAGAACACTGCACTGAAATATAGACAATAAAAGCATGTACCCAACCTTTTTTTTTTGGGGGGGGGGAGTCATATGTTTGAAAGTTCTCAAAAAACAAAGGCTTATTGTACTGAACAATCACTATTGACAACATCACAAAACTGATGCTGTTAAATCGGCATCTTCAGATCCATGATTCACACTGCATTTTTTCAATCCTATCGTAAGTGCTCCATCCTGAATTACTGGCCTGTGCAAATATGTCAAACTTAATTAGTGTTCTCACTTCCAGTGTTGTGTGTTAAATGTATGAAGAACCTGTCACAACAAGCCTGCCCCACAGGGATTTCTTTTTTTTCTTAATGTATATATAGGTCCTGTTAGGACAAAACCTCGAAACCTTTTAGCTCCTGTTTCTCGTCTTGTATTTTTTTTTTTTTTTACATAATTTGTAAGCACTCGCTACCCTTAACATTGTGAGAAAATTCTGTGATGAATGGACCAACAGAAATTAAATTTTAAAAGATCTTTCATCAACTTCTATTAAAAGTTAATGTTTTTTTCCATTTGAAGATAAAAGGTTTTGTTCTGACAGTGACATTAAGTAAATGTGGGCACATGTTTTTTTGGCCTTTATTAGAAAAAGCTGTTGAGGTAATACTATTTCTCAGCCTTTCAGTGCACAAAAAAACGTGCTTGCAGCTCTGATGTAAGTTGCTGTTAGTATTTTTTTGTGGTTTGCACAATGCTGAATGGTGCTTCTGAAAGTCTGTATTTTGCTACTTGCCTAAATGAGAAGTCAGTAAGATTTCTGTTTACACAGCCTAAGCCAGTACGGGCAGAACATTCAGTAGTTTATTGCTTTTTATATAGTCACTGTGATATGCTACCCTTTGTCAAACATCCTTTATGTCCACATTGTGGAGCCCTAATGTATCTTTATAAATAGTAAACATAAGTAATTTTCAAATAATTTATATTTATAAACACTAAACATGCATTTTAGCAACTGCTGTTTTTAGTGGTTTCTTCGTCAAGGACTATGTATTCAATACACGCTGTAAGGACGGAATGGAAGCATTTTTCTGTTCTGCCAGCAGAGGGCGCAGCAGCTATTTAAAAAGCACAGATCATGACTGGACCAGGAAGACGGTTAATTAATGTTTTACTGCACAGCCGGATCTGCAGGGATCAAGGCGACCCAGGCCACCTTTTCACCAGCAGTTCACTTACCATTAATTTCACTAGAGCCAGAATTGTGCCCTTCATGCCTACCTTAACTAGCACCCACTGAGAGAAAGCTCTATCACAGTGGTGCTGAATCAGCTACATACCAACTACTTTAAAAAAAATACTCAAAGTAATAGTGTGACTAAATATGCTAATAGGTTAAACAGTGAATCATAGCAAGTAGCCACCGATTAACATGATGTCGTTGCCATAATGCTAATTGGTGGCTGATAAAATTTTTCATTTCTTTTTAGCAATCTTAGCCTTTTTTGACTAAAGCATTTGTTACATTTTCTCAGTAACTTTGAGTACAGAGGGAAGGGTAAGGAAATACAGGCTAGAAAGAGGCGTGTAAAGGTGTAATCTATACATACAACCATGTGAAGGATTTGCAGAACTGACATAGCATCTTCACTAGGGGATGCACGATGATATCAGAACCACAGCCGTAACAGCAGATTTGTTTAAATTTTAAATACTGGCACTAAAATGATTTTTAGATTTAAATGATATTTCAAAATGATATTTGATGACCAATTGTACAAAAAACATAATAAGCCTGGATTAAAACTATATAGGTGAATAGAGCAAATTCTCTGCATGTTAAATATAACAATGCAATAGAGCCAATTATCACAGCACCAACTGTCATCGAATGGAAACACAGGCCTGCCGCCTCTACGTCACATGTGAATGTCTCTGTGGGTCTCGAGCTGCAGCTGACTGAACAGGGCATGCATGTGGAGTTACTTCTTTGATAAGGATCTCGGCCACATCGCGGTGGTTGTTGAGGGCAGCCAGGTGAAGAGCGGAAAAGCCATCCTCCTTCTTAACGTCAGCAAGCTGCCGGGCACGAGACAGGATCATCTCCGTCGCCCTGGGAACAAAAACACACAAAACCCAGAGTGACACTCAGTCAACAGCTTCCAGTGAGGTGAAGAAGGTCTGACATCTGCTGTGTTTTCTGTACACAGAACAATAAATATGATGCATGGCATTACATGGCATGATGAAGTAGCATCTTGTAGCAACTAAGATTTAACACTGTAAAAACAATATACAGACCACGACATTTAATATCAGACAACAGTTCTTTACATATTCTGACAAGGCAATGCTAGGACACGCTGTAAAAAGGTTAAATGTCAGCAGGGTCGATATTGCCTATTGTCTGATGCCTCTGGCCACAACATTTCACACTTTTTTTTCCTTTTTCTTTTTTTACCCTTTTTTACAAACCACAAGACATGGCCAATTTTTACACGTACTCAAATATCCACCATTGATAACAAAACAGCTGCTTAGTTAAACATCATTTAATTGCATCAAATTAGATTCTGACTGAATTTGCCAAGTGTAATGATAAAATTACCACTGTCACAGCTAATGTGATGGAAGGTGACAGCTTATTTTTAAAATATGGGTTTATAGTCTCAGGCTGGGCAATATGACAATATTTACTGTTATCATGTTAAATTATTCCACAGTATGTCACAATATGCTTCTCTGAGCATATTGTGGACATCATCAGTACTTAAACAACACTTCTCAACTGCATGCTAATAGAATTTTTGGTTTTTGATAGTAAAACCAAAATCATGATATTACATTGTTGCCATATCGTCCATCTCTAGTTTACCGTCAGTGGCAGTGCTGATAATAAAAGAAATATGAGAAAAAAATTACAGAGAAGTCCAGTAGAGGAAAGGACTTGTGTGGCTGGAGTATGACTTTGAAAAAGATGTGAGCATGTCATCAGTTTTTCACAAGAGGCAGACACCTCAAGTTCATTCCTTGCTGGCAAAGTAAAAGCAGGGCCGCAGTTTTTAATGAGCATTGTTACAGTGCAGTGATCTTCAGCTTATTAAGATACAGACTAATCAAATAATGAAGATGAACGAGGGTCAACAATACCCGACTGGTTATTGGTCTTGAGTCATGCTTGTCAATTGTAAATACAGTGTATATATGACAAACATGTTTCTATAAATCTGGCCACAAGATCATGGCCAGATTTGGTTTTGCGAGTGGCCAGTAAAAGTTTTTGTATTCGTCTACCCCTGAATATTATTCATGCTGTTATTGGTAAGCCAGGTGCAGAATCCATATTCCAATCTGTATGGCTGATCTCTGCTCCATACACAGCAGATTAGTGGTGCTTTACATCGAGTCCAGCTGTTAGTAGGGTTAAATCTGATGAGGAGGAGATTGAAAAGGGGGCTCTCTATTAGAGCAGATTAAGGCTTAGGGCATGTGTGTGTATGTGTGTGTATGTGTTCTTGGACAGAGTGCTTCTGGTCAGCTTCACACAGTCATAAGTCACGCTAATCGTCTGTCGTCATTGGCCGGCAATCTGTCCCCTATGCTGTCACCTACTGACCTTGTTTTTCCACACACACACACACACACACACACACACACAGTCTTTATGCTAATAGGTTATACAACAGGCCTGTATGGTGCATGAGTGTGAGAGGAAAACAGGGCTAATCTATAATGACAGGACCAATAAATTGGTTATGAATTTGCAGTTATTCACTAAAACTATGGAATTACAGTGGTTTTTAAAAAAAATTGTGCTCAAGTGGTCAAAATCTAAACATATTATTTCAAAGTGGTCTGTAAAATGCTTCATTGTAAAGGAACTTGCCAGATTTGTACACAGTGGTGTGATGGGAAGAGTTTCTCTATAATGCACCATTTCACATCAAACCACTCTGAATGACTTTGTTTACATCTCAATCATTGAATTATGTAAATATTTAAAAAAAAAAAAAATCAGTGGAATTCTCTTTAGGGTTAGGATTAGGCTTAGAGCACTGTGCAAAACTGTTAGGCATGTGACAAAATATGTAAAAAATCCCCACTAACATTGGAGTAAATATAAATAAGCAAATAAACAATAAGATGTCTTTTGATGATTGTGTGTTCGATTAAACATTTCCAAACCTCTCCTTGAGAAAGCAGAATTTACAGTTACCATCCAATTCCCCCTTCAGCTAAGCAAACCTTCATCAATCCTTCAATCCTTGGTTGATTTAAAGCAGATATATTTAAACTAATCCATACAATGGATGGAGCAGATGGAGAAGTTAGGAATCAAAGCTGTGATCTTCTAACTATGTTCATCTAACTAAGAAATGAAAAACACAAACATATACATAAGAGAGAGGAACATAAAAAATCTTGTTACATTTTACTGCCTTTATATTTATTTGTATCTATTGTAATGTTATACAGTGTTTGTTTGGTTTTTTGACAGGGAAAAACATTTCTACCACCTAGATAAACAGTTTTAAACAGTTTTCACAGCTGCCTAAGACTAAAGCACAGTAGTGCATATGCCCTAACATCTAAACACTGTATAAAATGTGTGTGTCTACAGAGCCCAGCACGTCTTTCCTCTTTTTCATAGCAACTCTGACTCTCTTCTCTCAAAAAAGCCAAGACAGGCTTCCATTGTAGCATGATCTGCTCCTAATGTGCTGCAGGAGAGTGCCATGCAGCTGCGTGTGTGCTGCTACACACACTTCCCACCAGTGAACAAACAGGCCCCACTGGGGCTCACCATTAATAGCTTGGAGCTTATCACCAAGCTCTTCTTACATACACGCACACAGCTAAATTCACCCCTCCAGTGCTGTGTAACAGATAAGATCAACAATCAGACACAAGTGCCTCCGTGTCTGAACGCTTGACTCACTTACCTTAACTAACCTGCAGCTGATGTCAACCTATTCTTAAGGGATGTTGACTATCTGGATCCATAATAAGAGCCTTTATCGTTGTACTGCAGAAAAGGAGCCTAAAATGGCTTTAAGCGGTTTAAGAGGTCTTGTCTCTGGTCTTAAGCTTTAACTGACAAGCAAAACATGAAGTGCTAGTTAAAGGCGAGGGACTGTGGGAGGATGGGGGGGGGGTCTGCTTTCAAGGTTGACAACAATGTGGACACAACACTGTCATTTCATTATATGGAGTTCTCAGCACTGATATTGTAGAAGCCAATTGGCAAAACAGAAAACGGCACAATTGCACAAGCTGGCCGTCACGTATAATAAAAATTCATTGGCATGAAATAGGTCTACTGTATGAATGCATGTTGGGAGGCAAACGGGCAGTAAAGGGAGTGTAGTTATCTTGAGTTTGTCAGTGTAGCTTCTCATAAGAAAGAGAAGCTACAGAGTCAACAGTGTCCTGGTTAATCTGACGACAGGCAAAATATTTTATGCGATTATACTGATTAAAAATATCTGAGTTGATTTCCAGCTTCCCCCTGGGGGCCTGCAGAAGAGGTTAAAATGTCAAAGTGTTATTTTGAAAGTGCTCAGGGACTTCCTGCATTCATTAGTCAACTACTGGTTTATTCTATTAATGTCATCCCCCTAAAATAGCTCACTTTGCTTTTAAAACATGGCCAGCCTTAGCATATCAGACTCAAATCATTGCAGATAAATAAAATGTGCCAGTTTATTAGTGACATAATATCCACTAGGCAACATTATGCAACTTACACAGCCACAGATCCTCCCACTACTTGAGAAGGCTGAATATAGCAATACAGCAAGAAGCACAGAGACAGGGAACAAGTGAGGGGAGTAGATGTTTTATAATAAATAAATAAATAAATAAAATACTCTCATACTCTTCGACCAGCAAACTTTAAAAATTAGTTTCAAGCCTTTGCCTTATTGCAGCAAAATTGATGTAGTAATTATTAAGTTGGTTCTAATCATGTTTCTAATACTATGACAATGAGAGCCAGAGAGAGTGCAGGAATGAGGCTGAGAAAATGCTTAAGCGTATTATGCGGGCATATTAGCTCATTTCGCATTCAAGAGACATCCCCAGTAGTACTGCTATGTACAGCATATGTGCATGAACAGCACTGTGCAGAATCAGAGACCACCCCTCATTCCAGAAAAAAACAACCTAAATTTGACAACCTGCGTATGTGTGCGTGTATGTGTGTAGGAGGTGTAATGAGGGAACACTACTCGATGCTCACTTCATCAATCTTTTCTCAGCCTCCCAACCCCCGCTCTCCAAGCCCACTGCCAGCAGGTGCAGGCTCAAAGACGGTTTCACCTCCATCTACTCCTCCTCCAACTCTATCCATCCATCTATCTGTCCCTCTCTACAACTCAGCACACCATCGAACGAGCTGGCTCCCCCACACAGCATGAAAGCTGAATGTGGGAGAGAAAGGAAAAGACAGAATGGGTTAGCTAGTGCAGCTGAACACTGAGAGGAAGATCTCGACTAGGGCGCCAACCATTTACATTCCACATTCGCAGTGTATTTATTTTGGAATGAGCGAGGAATGTGTGTGTGTGTGTGTGTGTGTGTGTGTGTGTGTGTGTGTGTGTGTGTGTGCGCATCCGTCTGTGTGTGTGCAAACATGTACGCCAAAATAGGTTGTACTTGTGTAGTTGAGTACCTTGGATTCCAAAGAGAGATTTTTTTTTTTTGAGAGGTGTTTTTTTTTTTGAGAATATATGACTAAATGTGTTTGTGTATGTGTGATCAGGGAGTATGGATGTGTTTATGCTACCAAAGAGCTATTGGACTCACCCAAGTGTATGTGTGTGTGTGTGTGTGTGTGCTGACTGAGGATGTGTCATTGACATTGGTGGCATGAGTAGTCTATGTTGCCAGCTGAGTCTTACACATTTATGCAACTTCTGAAACCTACATGAAACTAAACTGCAGTTGAGTTGCATAATATAAAGTGATCTGCAACTCACCTGATCCTAAGCTGCAACCGTCGCAACTGTCTCAACTTTGTGAAACAAATGTCATGAAACAGCCAATCATAACAACGACGAATCACAAGATCACGTCAAATGACATACTCTCAAATGATTGATTTCACCAGAT